GTCAAATGATGACATGTAGTGCTTATGTATATTGGTGAGGGTTACCAATTACCATCAGGTTTATATATATATGTAAACATATATAATAATAATAATTATTCTTTATTGCGCACAGACAAACAAAGAACAATAAAAAAAATGATAAAAAGTTATACAAAAGGCGGTCTTATCACTAACAGCAATTTCTTACAGACAATCTAGTATTGACAGATATTATTTACATAGAGAAGGTAGAAGGCGCACAGTAGACAACATATTTATAATACACATATAGATAAACATACATTTTATAAGAATAAATAAATAAACTTACACACTAATACATATTGTATACATACATAAACTACATATGAGATGAGAACAAAAGGAAAATTTAGTTATAGTTCAGTTACAGAGGGAGAGATAATGAGATTTTAGTGAATTTTGAAATATAGTAAGTGATTGTGCTGATCGAATGGGAAATGGCAAGGAGTTCCAGAGACGAATAGCTAGTACAGTGAAAGAATCGGTATAATATTTAGATGAATGAAATGGGAAAAGAAAAAATATATATGAATTTGTCATATTCGGTGTCGAGACCCTTGGTCCGTGGGGTCCTAGCGCTATAAAACTTTTCAAAGAAATAACGAAAAGGTTAGTCGACATCACAGAAGACCGAAGAGCTGGCAGCTACCTTGGACAAAGAATTAGTCTAGCTATTCAAAGAGGGAACGCTGCCAGTATCTTCGGAACGTTGCCTAAAGGGAGCCCTTTTAATAATATATTTTAGTCATCATATTATATTGTTTAAGCTTTTTAATTTTAGGTTCTTAGTTGTACAATTAGGTTATGTAAATAATAATAATAAGTATATTATTAAATGTTATTATTAATATGTATAATATATATGTAAACATATATATGTATATGTAAACGTGTAAACAACACGTTGTCAATATGACCAGTAATCAGTATCTGTCGGAACACATCTTCCTCGTAATTATTCAAAGGCTTCAAGGAACTCCTTTCAGGTTAAGGGCCTAAGTTGCCATCCCTGTGCGGTCAGTACAGTGACCGTATAGAATAGCTTCGATGTACCCCTTTGTTACTATTGGTGCCCCTAACTTGGGTTTCAAACTATTTACTAGCCGTTAACTTTATGGATTTCCTTACATGCAGTTTATATATGATATATATAATATACTAGCTAGACCCGCGACTTCGTCTTTATTTTTCTGAACTAAAATAAGCCAAGTTACGCCTTATTACATTAGCTACTTGCCAAAAAAAGTCCCATCAAAATCGGTCCGGCCATTTCAGAGACGAGACGAGACGAGACCTGAGATAATAGATATACAATACTATCACTATATTTTACGTTGGTTGACATTGTCATTTGTTTTTGCTCTCAGTATATTTGTATTTCATATCTTCCGTACATTTGTAGTATTTGGTCACATCTATCTACATCTATCATTATCTATATCATAATCGTATCTCTAATATTGTTCATATATATATACTAGCGATATAAGCAATCATACTCATGAATACATATGCACCGTGCGAGGAATCGTATCCGCGACCATCGGAAGTAAAGCGGCAGTTAAACCGCTAGACCACCGAGGTGTCATCATCATTACATGGTATAAAACGTCGTCAAAAAAAAGTCGCTGTCGCTGTCTGTCCGTTCCTATGTACGCTTAAATCTTTAAAATTACCGAATGGATTTTGAAGCGATAGAGTAATTCAAGAGGAATCTTTATATATATAATACATGTACACCCGTGCGAAGCCGGGGCGTGTAGTTAGTGTTAAATATAGTTAAAAATACCTACTAATTTTTATCGCCTTAGTAAATTATCAAATGGAGTAACATCTCAAATAATTAATGATCACAATATAATTCAACGGAAACTCAATTTGTAGCCAATTGCGAGCTATTTATTTGACGGAGTCGATAGAATGTAGCCACAAAGCAGTGGAATGTTCCCCTATTTGGGTCGTACGATTAACTGTCTTGTCATTTACAATTTATTTATACCCTCACGACCATAATACCCGAGGGTGTAGTTAGGATTATTACAGGACAATTGACAGCCTCGGTGGTCTAGTGGTTTAGCACACCGCTTTACTGTCCGATGGTCGTGGGTTCGATTCCTCGCACGGTACAAACATTTGTATTCATGAGTATGATTGTTTGTATCGGTCTGGGTGTTTTCTATGTATAATATGTATTTATTTACAGATATTATTATTATTATTAATTCACACAGCGAAATCTAGTCCCAAGCTAAGCAGAGCTTGTGTTATTGTTACTAGACAACTGATATAATAATAATAATATCAGGACAATTCACACATCGCCATCTACACTCAAGTTAACCTAGCTAAAGCTTGTGTTATGGGTACTAGATAACTGATACAAATACATATATTAAATAAATTATTAAAAAAAACGTATAAAAATATTTTTTACGTAAGTACATATATATTATACATAGATAATACCCAGATCGACACAAACAATCATGAATACAAATTTTTGTGCCGTGCGAGAATTGAACCCGAGGCCCTCTATATTTTTCTATCTATATATCTTGCCGAAAAGTCAACACTAGGGTTCCAAACTCTATTTATTGCCTGATGATGCCTCGTTCATACATGAAACATGTGTCACAATATGAGTGTAGATTCGATAACAGTCGAAATTCAAATTAAAATTCAAAAATCATTTAATCATGTAGGACATTTTAGGCTCTTATGAACATCAAATTTTTTATATTATATTTTTTTCCCTACCGTGCAATTTGTTATATAGATCCAATTGAGAATAACTGGCAAGAAACTCAATTGGATTTGATCACTAACGGAAATAGAATAGAATAGAAAGTTCTTTATTCAAATAAATCTAAATTTTAGCATTTTTCATTCGGAAAACTGTCTCATCACAAGACGAACGAGCAAGAAACAGACGTGTTGCTCTTTTAAGCAATTGTTGTAAGTTTACCTTTTTAACTTAAAAATACATGCCAACTAAGAGAGTCAAAATATTTATTTATTTATTTATAAAATTACATGTAGTATTGCAGTACAATACCAATGCACTCACCGAGGAATAAACGTATGCAATACATACATTAATAATAATAATCATAATAACAAGAAGGTCATTAAAAAAAACTAAGAAATAAAATAAAAAGAAAAGAAAAACAGCAATGATACAAATTACAATGATATTAATAATCTAGAAATATATTAACAATATTGTGACTCCACAAAATATGAATGTGGATGGTTATAAGGGCAGAGGAAGGCCGAAAAAGAGATGGATGGACTGTGTGAAAGATGATATGGTAAGAAAGGAAGTAAATAACGAGATGACTGCGAACAGAGATGAATGGAAGCGAAAAACATATTACGCCGACCACAAATAAATGGTATAAGGAAGAAGCAGATGATGACTGTGACTACAAAATTCGTTACCGCTCTGTGACACTCTGTGGCAGTACAATTAAATAAGTCAAGTGGAAAAATAGTGGATCACTCATTAAGCAGACGGAGTGCTCTTGGGAGTGATGCATAATCAGCATGTAAGATTCTACAGAGGGCCAAGGCAAATAATTAGTATTTATATGAAGAAGATCATAGCGCTCCCAGTAGCGGTGGTCAGGATTCCGCACTGAAAATTTCTGATCTCACACACGCGAACGGTAACGGAGTTAAACAAAACAATACAAATCTATTAGGTAATGAAATTTCTGTTTAATTTTTACACACGGTTAGTTATAGTCTTAAATAAGTATTTTAAAGGTGAAAGACAATAAGCAACTTTCCCAAAGAAGGAAAAATGGACTTTAGAAAACTAATCTTTACTATCTCAATTTGAACCATCTAATGAGGTGATGAATTTATCTTGAAATATTTACTCATTTCCTTTTTGGTTTAATGAAAGTGATTTAGTTTCATGGGCATTGGTTTCAGAAAATAGTATATTTACATTATTTGTCTCTTGTGAAAGTGATTTAGTTTCAAAAAATAGTATAGGTATGTACAGTCTATCCAGCTTCCAGCTAGAATCCCTTGAAAGTCAGTAAATTATTCACAATACTGAACATTCCTCAAGAAATCAGAAAGTATATTTTGAACTTTCGTTCTGAATCGATTACGTGACCGTGGAGTTTGTATTGAAAGTTCAAACATATTTTTCAGTTTTTCGCTGTAGTTTTTTTATTTCAGTTGCATGTATCACTTCGGTATATATATATCAAATTGAGTGATATACATCATATATCTATATATATTTTTGAATCAATCGGACTTGTTTTTGTATGATTTTTACACATTAAATAGTAAATTGGTTGAATAAATAAAAATTAAGTGATATTCGTCATATATCTACTTAAGTTTAAAATAAATTAATATTATTCGGTATGCAATAATTGCAAACGGTTTTTTGGTATTTATATTTTTATAAAAAGAAATAGCATATCTCTCTTTTTAATTCTATATATATACAAGTATAAATATATAAGTAGTAGTAAAAAGAGAGAATTTACTTTTTATTAAGAATTAATGAGAATAAATACCAAAAAAACATTTTGCAATTAAAGCATTCCCAATAATATTAATTTATTTTTAATTTAGATATATAATGAATATCACTTAGTTTTTATTTGCTCAATAAATTATTATTTTATGTGTACAATTCATAAGAAAAGATGTCCGTTTAATTTTTAGAAAAAAATGCACTAAAATGCTAATTTATATTGAGATAAGTAACTATCTATATTTTTTATTTTAAATAAGAAATTTATTATTTCAGATAAATCTTATAGATATTTAATATGTAATATATAATATTAAACACTTAGACAACATTTAAATAAAATCGTAGGCTTAAACGAAGATGTTACCTTAGATAATTAATTAAAGAATTTTAATTTAACACACCAACAATTTAACACTTTAAAAACTATATAACTATCAATTCGCAATAATAAATCATTTAAACAACTCACCGTCAAGCAAAAACAGCAGCCGAAAGATGAGATGACATATCCGTTTCATCTTGAACATTACAGTTATCACTTGTAATCTACAGTGTTAGAAAACAAATTGACATCAATTCACACAGCCGACAATGAAAACAAATATTCTAAAACACATATATTGTTATAAAACAAATTTGTTAGGACACAATCAAGTGTGTGGAGTCTACGAAATTCTGTACGGGAAACATTGTAGCGGCCGACGCGAGCGTAGCGGTCGGCGCTTCGAATCGACTGACTACGGCGGCTGGCGTAGTTCTACACGCTACGGGACTGCTCATTACCTCAAAATAAGGCTGTATTCACTACATTATTTTGTTTAATAAAGTTCCTAGGCGTATGCAGATGCGTTCACATAACGTTATGGTATGTTCAGAGATTGCACAGCCTTGTAGCATCACGTGCAAAATTAAACGAGTGTTGACGCGTTGGAAATAGAATTTGAAATGAGGCCTAATGCTATTTGAACTCTATTGTTGTTATTATACAGTTTATTATGGGTTAGGGTGGGTGAAGTTGGAGAAGGATTATGGTGTTAGCGAGGTAAGTAGGTATAGTATGAGAGATTTTAGTTCTACTTAGTTGGGGAAGTACTTAGCGGATATTAACGAATTAGGAAGCATGGTGTTGTTTTCAACCGACGTTAAAAAGGATGAGGTTCTTACTTAAACTATGTGCTTTTATTATACGACTAGCTTTTGCCCGCGGCTTCGCTCGCGTTAAGAAGTATTATTATTTATGAATTAGGTATAGTTTTTGCGGCTTTAGTTTTTTTAGAGTGTGTAAAAAATTAGGGGTTACAAAACTTGTTTGTACACAATATTCTTAACTAATCTATTGTCAACAATTAGAACTAAAAGTTATTTTGTTCGTCTTAATATATTCGTTCCATTAGGTACTGATAGGTTCAAACTAATACCACAGATAATATATGCTAATACATTTACATTCTCCATCATCCCTTATATTATCCCGATGGGGGTTGAATTTATCAAAATCCTATTTAAGGGAACGTCTTCATCATAGTAGCTCCAATCTTTAATTTCAATTCAATCAGTCGAAAGTCTAAGATTTATACAAACTTTCATTCCCTATTTTAACCCCTTAGGGGTGAAATTTATCAAAATTCTTTCTTAAGGGATGCCTCCGTCATAGTTGTTTTATGCATGCAAAGTCTCAGCCCGATGGGTTTAAAATTGACAACGTTTCATACAAACTTTCATTCCCTATTTTATCCCCTTTGGGGTAGAATTAATCAAAATCCTTTCTTAGCGGATGCCTACGTCATAACATCTACCTGCATGCCAAATTTGTTTGTTAATGATCACACACATGTTCATAAGAATAGACAATACATAATACGACATAAGATTCATAAAATTGTGTTATTATGTGTGATCTGTAGGAATACAAAAAGGTCGAAGTTCAGCGTGGAACATAGTTCAAGGAACAAAACACTGATTTTCAGCTTCATGCCATCATCATCATCATCATCGCAGCCCGGAAGACGTCCACTGCTGGACATAGGCCTCCCCCAAAGATCTCCACGGTGATCGGTCCTGCGCTGCTCGCATCCTATGACTTCCAGCGAACTTGACCAGATCGTCGGTCCACCTTGCTGGAGGCCTTCCCACGCTGCGTCTTCCGGTGGTCGCCACTCGAGGAGTTTACTGCCCCAACGGCCATCTGTCCTACGAGCTATGTGCCCTGCCCATTGCCACTTCAGAGTCGCAATTCTTCAGCTTCATGTATATATATGTATTATACATAGAAATCACCCCGACCAATACAAACAGTCATACTCGTGAATACAAATTTTTAAGCAATTTGTTTTTACACCCGCAATTCAAATGCGTATTCCAAATTTTTTGAAGAGAACAAAAATTTTATCCTTCGTACCTTGATGGTCAAATAGTTTAGCACACCAAATTACTTCTGATGGACGCGAGTTTGATTTCTTTCACGCTACGAACATTTCTATTCACTCATGAATATAATTGTTTGTATCGATAAACAATGTAATAATAGTTATCTAGTACCCATAACACAAGCTCTGCTCAGCTTGGGACTAGATGGCGCTGCGTGATTTATCCTGAGATATTATGAATTATATTATTCTTAGTTTAGTAATTCATGAATTAACACGCCAAATATTTTGGTTGGGACTTAAACGAAGTGTGTTATCTAGTACCCATAACACAAGCTGTACTCAGCTAGGCACTAGATGGCGCTGTGTGATTTATCCTGAAAAATATATTTTATTTATTTATTATATAGGTATCATCTTTCACACAGTCCATCCCTCTCTTTTTCGGCCTTCCTCTGCCCTTATAACCATCCACATTCATATGTAACACCTTTCTTAAAATATTATCCTCGTTCCTACGCATTACATGTCCATACCATGATAGACGATTACTCTTCAACCTCTCTGACACCGGCGCCACTTTCATACTTCCTTTAATGTATGAATACATTAAGGGAAGTATGAAGTTCTTTATCTTATCCATTCTTGTCACACCACACATCCACCTCAACATTCTCATTTCAGTTGCATGCAGTCGTCTTTCATCCGTCGCCTTTACGGGCCAGCACTCTGATCCATACAAGACAGCAGGCCGGATCATGGTCTTGTAATTTCGAGATGGAAATAGAAATAGAAATAATCTTTATTATATAGGTATATTAGATTATAAATAGATAGATAGATAGATAGATATATCGTTTATTTGTTTGTTACTAGTCACACACATAACATGTTCATAATAATATAAAAATACATAATACAACATAAGATTTATAAAATTGTGTTTTATGTGTGATCTGTAGCAATACAAAAAGGTCGAAGCTCAGCGTGGAACATTGTTCAGGGAACAAAACACTGATTTTCAGCTTCAACCCATTTGAGGGTACGTGAAAATAATAATTAAAATAAATATAAAATAAAAAAAAGCAATATTATTAGTGATTGTCTGTGTGGTGTGTTTATAATAAAAATAATGTAAATAGTTCAGAGTATAATTTGATATAATTTTAACTGAGTGGTAAGGATCAACAAAAAGAAAAAAAAAGTAAATATTAATAAGAGTAACATAGAGAAATAAAAAACCATTTTTTTTTTTTATATATTTTTTTTTTTAAATATAGTTATATTAGATATATTATCATTAGTTACACAAATTTCTTGACAAATTAACACGCCAAATATTATGGTTGAAACAAAACGAAGTGTAGATTCGCTTAAATTTCAATATAATATGTAATTTGAACCCAATTAAAGTGATGTAACTGAAGCCGCGTGGTATGAAAAACATTAATCAAAACATAAACGTAATCACTGCCATTAATTAAACATAATATCGCTTATTTAATCACTCATTAGTGCTCGCAGTCGGCTAACACCGTACTAATGAGACCATATTCATTTGATTACGTACAAACACACATTCGTACTTAATGTGAGCTTGCCATATATAAAAGTTGGAAACGCGTGAAAACCTCAGATTTTAGAGTCCAAAAGCCGGATATGACAACACTTTTTTTTAATATAGTCACCCGGATTTTAGAGTCCAAAACCCGGATATGTCAACACGTTTATTTTAATATAGTCACCCGGATTTTAGAGTCCAAAACCCGGACATGTCAACACGTTTTTTTTAATATAGACACCCGGATTTTAGAGTCCAAAACCCGGACATGTCGACACGTATTTTTAAACATAGTCACTGTAATAAAAGATTCATTCTTTTCAGATCTTAAAATTAAAGGTAGTAATTTTTTATCATACTAATGAGACCATATTCATTTGATTACGTACAAACACACATTCATATTAAATGTAGGCTTGTCATATATAAAATTTGGAAACGCGTGAAAACCCCGGATTTTAGAGTCCAAAACCCGGATATGTCAACACTTTTTTTTAATATAGTCACCCGGATTTTAGAGTCCAAAACCCGGATATGTCAACACGTTTATTTTAATATAGTCACCCGGATTTTAGAGTCCAAAACCCGGACATGTCAACACGTTTTTTTTAATATAGACACCCGGATTTTAGAGTCCAAAACCCGGACATGTCGACACGTTTTTTTAAACATAGTCACTGTAATAAAAGATTCATTCTTTTCAGATCTTAAAATTAAAGGTAGTAATTTTTTATCATACTAATGAGACCATATTCATTTGATTACGTACAAACACACATTCATATTAAATGTAGGCTTGTCATATATAAAATTTGGAAACGCGTGAAAACCCCGGATTTTAGAGTCCAAAACCCGGATATGTCAACACGTTTTTTTTTTAAATCTAGTCAGTGTAATAGAAACAGTTAAAAATATCATAAATCCTACCTTTTTATTTATTTTCAGAATTTAAAATTAAATTTAGTAATTTTTTATCATCCATATTAAATGTACCTAATAAAACAGAATCTTATTACAGTTTGTTACATTTTGTTTTAATAATCAATTCGATTTGTTTTGTTCTTAAAATAGAACACATATTATTAATGTACTTTAATATTGAACCTAAAAAAATTACATTACCCCGGACGTTCCTCATATGCCCGGACGCCCTCTTACAAATTGTTTTAATAATCAATTCGATTTGTTTTGTTCTTAAAATAGAACACAAATTATTAATGTACTTTAATATTAAACCTAAAAAAAATTACATTACCCCGGACGCTCCCCATATGCCCGGACGCCCTCTTACAAATTGTTTTAATAATCAATTCGATTTGTTTTGTTCTTAAAATAGAACACAAATTATTAATGTACTTTAATATTAAACCTAAAAAAAATTACATTACCCCGGACGCTCCCCATATGCCCGGACGCCCTCTTACAAATTGTTTTAATAATCAATTCGATTTGTTTTGTTCTTAAAATAGAACACAAATTATTAATGTACTTTAATATTAAACCTAAAAAAATTACATTACCCCGGACGCTCCCCATATGCCCGGACGCCCTCTAAACTGGAACAAATCCGGGGAAACTCAGAAGGATGGCAACTCTAACGTAATGCAAACATTTATGTACAGTACGCAAATTGAGTTATAGTGTAACAATCGTACTCAATCATTCCAGAATATTCGACCACT